CGGTACTAAGCGGTAGTGCTATGGTATTAAGCTCCGTTCTCAAATAAGGGCCGCATTTTTGGAGAAAAAAGTTAATAAGCGCCGCGGCGCTAATTCGCGTAAATTCGGTACATTTCCTTATGCACTGTGAAACTTAACGTTTACAAATAAATTGCTTGTAAACGGCAAAGTAACAGTAGTTTTCTAAAAAAGCAATATTTAAGCAACTGGAACGACGCCGTCTCAGGTTTGCATAACTGTCAAGATAGAATAAAGAATAAAGTCCTAAATGTAATAACATTTTGCCCTAAATGTAATAAACTCTTAAGATACCAATTACCGTATTTATGCAAGCAAATAAGCATCGCTCTAAAACAAGCGCAGCAATTGGGATAAGAAGTTAATAAGCGCCGCTGCGCTTATTCGCGCGTGTAAAGACGGTACATTACCAATTACCATATTTACACGCATAAGAACCGCCCTCAAATAAGCGCCACCATTGGGAGGAAAAAGTAAATGAGCGCCGCGGCCCTTATTCGAGGAAAACAGTACTGATACATTTCCTTAATATGCAACGTTAAACTTCACGTTTATGAATAAATTTCTTCAAAGCGACACATAACAGTCTGTTGTCTATTAAGTATACTTATTCATTCATTTATTCATTTTATTGGTTAATCCATATTGTTTACAATTATGTAAAACATAACAAGTAACAAAAATGAACTATTGTAAAAAGTAAAAATGAACTAATTTATTTGTAAACGTTAAGTTTCACAGTGCATAAGGAAATGTACCGAATTTACGCGAATTAGCGCCGCGGCGCTTATTAACTTTTTTCTCCAAAAATGCGGCCCTTATTTGAGAGCGGAGCTTAATACCGCAGCAATACCACTTAGTACCGTATTTACTCGAATAAGCGCCGCGGCGCTAGTTAACTCCCCACACACCCCCAAATGCTGCGCTTATTTGAGGGCGGGGTCTATTCGAGTAATTACTGTAGTTGGCAGCTTAAGAGTTTATTACATTTAGGGCAAATTGTTATTACATTTAGGACTTTATTACATTTAGGACAAAATGTTATTACATTTAGGACTTTATTACACTTAGGACCGTTTATTACATTTAGGCCTTCTACAAAAGCTACTTGTATTTGACGCTGGGCAATCAGGTCTTTCCAGCCAAGTTGTTGTAACAAGCACCTAGCATCAGCATCATAGGAGAAGAAAGTCAAAATGCGAGCAGCACAATTCTGCCGATTTTGTAATTTTTCTGAGGGCGTTTTGCCGCAATTCGCCCAGACAATACCACAGTAATCGAAATGGGGTTCTGCCAAGGCACTGTAGATGTACAGCGGTACTTTCACATGGTACTATTTATTTAGTATGAAGTTTTAACTTTTGAGTCTGTGGATGAAATCCTATGGTGTAACCATTCACATAAAACCTTGTCAACAGTACTTTTGGTTTGTAGATAAAATTCTATGATGTGACCTTTCAAGATTCAAATCAACTGACCTGTTTGGCAGAATTTTCTTATGGTACTATTTATTTAGTTTCTAGTTCTAACTTTTGAGTCTGTGAACGAAATCCTGCGGTGTGACCATTCAAATGAAACCTCTTCAGCAGTACTTTCACATGGTACTATTTATTTAGTATGTAGTCCTAACTTTTGAGTCCGTGGATGAAATCCTATGATGTGACCATTCAAATGAAACCTAGCAGTACTTTCACATGGTACAATTTGTTTTTAACCGTTTTCCAATAAGATAAGGACATTTTGTCCAATTCTTACTTTGGCTACTGGGAGTAAAAGGGTTAAATACGCTCATTAGAACGTGTTCTCTTGGGAATATAAAAACGCGCTGGCTGTAGCATTGAAAGGAGACAGTTTATAAATTAAACGATTGCCGTTCCTAAAAATATCTAACGGTCGTAACCTTTCCTCAGTAGGATGTAGTGTAGGAGAGAAATAGACGAGCGGGGAGCAGTTTCTCAAGTTAAACTGCACATTTGGGAAAAATCACCAAAAAACAGTGAAGTCTTTTTGTACAACAGTCAGAGTAACTTCATAACTGTATAGTAGTTTCCACAAGGTCGCTGCATCTTAAAAGAATACCTTGCACAAAACCTTGTGATACTTCTTTAGCCTGTCAAGCAAGCGTTTCCGCACTGGTTCGTTCAGAAAGTTACAAAAGAAGAGGGGATAGGTCACGTACAGTGTAGGATTAAGGAAGTTATCCATTCTGGGTATCTGTAATATACACGTTTGAATATAAATACTAGACTCTCTGAAAGTCCTTCGCTTCTCATGTCCTGTTCCAGCAGCTCGGAACTGCACACGCACCCAACAATACATACGAGAGGGACACAGATGGTTCGCGCCAAAATGACGTCACTTGATGCGATTTTTTGCAGGGGACACAAGTCGAGCTCTCGTTCTCTCGCTCGCCTTTGCCGCAGGAAACATTAAAAATCTACCCGTCGCGCGCTTCGCGCTCGTGAAAAAATTTGAGCTCGACTTGTAGGCAAGTCTATATAAATACCAGTGATTAATTTGCTCCGACGATCACACAGCGGGTGACCGATTTTTTTCACTGCACTATGATCAAAGACAGAATTGTTGTTTCCAATTAATCATACTTAAAGCACAATTGGACATAATTTTAAATTTTCTTTCAGCCACTAGAACTCCTGAGAAACGTCTTCCAGTGTACGCGATACACTATGTACCAGTGTTTTTTTTTTCTCGCGTGCAGCTATTGTGTCTTAAGTGCATATAATGTAAAAAATCACAGCATAAAGAGAAAACGCCCTCAAGTAGCGCTACTACTAAACAAAAGGCCTACTAATGCGGTAGGTTGCAGCTGTTGGAGCGGGGAGGCTATAAATTCTTTTTCGAGGGGATGGTTATATTTCAAGTTTTCTTTTAAAGTCATAGAAGAAGTTGAGACCGCCTTAGTGACATGAATGTTAATTCTTTCCTATAAAAACAGAGTCATAATATAATACCCTGGCGAAAAAATCATTTACTGTTTTTCTACTAAGTGTTCGAGATCTCCAGTTTTACTGATCCGTGTCTACACACTCCTTTTTCGAGCTAAGAATAAAAAAAGCAGTGGACGCAGTACGTTTGCACAAATGCAGGCTACCAGATTCTCCAGAACAAGCCGGTCCGCTCAAAGCCAAATGACGTAAGACGCCATTTGTAAATATACAAAATGAAGCACTTTAACAGATTGGCAGAATTCATTGGAAACAATTTTATCGGGAGTTTTCACCCCAAAAAGAGGACTCCAGAAGAAAGCAATATATATATATATTCGCGTTCTTAGTTGTTTCTAGTGAGCAGTTATGGCTAAGTAAGGTTAACACTTCGCAGTAAATTATTTTACTTGTGCTTTATTTTCTGCTGACCTGATTTGCATTACAGTGAAATCAGAGTCAGTGCAAGGAAAACTTTTCTTGCTCACACTTTGTTTAAACATGCAATAGCATGCTCATCCAGTTGAACGTCTCCAGTAGTAAGGTCAGTCCTCACCAGGCGATGCTCCACATAGTGGCTTTCCGTTGGCAACTTGACAGCCTTTTTTGCTCTGTTCAGAAAAAAATATATATATTGTGTTGTAACCCAAGTCCATTTTAAACCTAAAAAATGCCACCCTCGTGAAGTACACAAAGCCCAGGATGAATGCTCTTGACCGATCGCAAAATGACTGGTGCGGCTATGGTCCGGCCGGCCAGTTCTGACTTTTGAAAAGCGCCCCAAGTCACTATTTTTTAACTTTGTATGACAGTGATGAAAATATTCTACCAACAGTATGTAGGGTGACCTTATACACAGCCTGCCTCGACAAAAGCTTATTGCTTATTGTAATTTATTTGTTTGTTTGCGATTATTCAGTTAAAGGTTCAGCTGAAAATTCCTCAGAACTTACTGAGAATGGCAATAACCAGTTCAAATAAGAGAAGTTCAAAGAAATGATTTATTTCAAACCAAGGCACAAGCTTGTTGAAATATCATACATTTAGAAATATAAATGTATATATCTGTCTGATTTTGCTAAAGGTTGCCCGTCAAGTTTTCGCTTGAACATGGGCAAACTTTAGTAAACTTTACTTAGCCATAGTAAAAAGCCCAAATATGGCCACAGTCATGGGTTATTATCACTGGTTAAAGGTACATAACAGTAGAAACACGCGACTAAGAACCTGGTTTTTAAGGTGGCTCAGTGGGCTTCTTCAGGGACAATACCTCCCAAGTTTTATTATAAAGTACGTCCCCGTGAACAAAGATTTCAGTGAAAAAATTGCCACCGCAGCTGTATTAGATAATTTGTTTTGATCAGGGTTACAAAATGACATCGGGGTTGCCACAGCAACGAAATGACGCCATTACCTATTTTATTTGCAGCCGTATTTCTCAGCACTGGGAACTGCTCTCCCAAAATCGTTAAAGGAAGCTTTTCCTCCAATAGCCGCTTCGATGTTTGTGAAGTTTAAGTGAAATCTATAAGAGCATTATCGAGATATTTTGCGATGAGGTTTTTATTGTTAGAAATACGGTAAAAACTGGACAATCTTTATGTTCGGCCGTTATCTAAAGAAAACGAAGCGCTTTTAAACCGAAATTTTACCTCATAGTAGTTTCAATCTTTTTAATGATCATGGAGAAGGGTGGGGAGCGCCAGACAAGCGCGTGCGACTTGGAAAGGCGCAGAAACAACCAGCAGAGATGACGGAATGGTCGGACAATAATTCCTGAAATTCGAGGTAAACCAAGAAACCGTCTGAAACGTCGACTAGTGAGTTTTACTATGGCAAAGTTTGTTTTACATTCTGTTTAACTTAGTTGAGGCCTTTTACTAAAGCCCAAGTGTGACAACAAAAGATAACGTCAGAGCAAGTTTGGATCTTGATCGCGCTTTAGTTTCAAGTGACGTTTTCCCCGCCGCCGACGTCGTGCTATCTTAAACTGTTCTATAATATTATTACTTCGAGAAAGAAACTTAAAAGGCATACTTGTATAACGTATGGAACTGGCAACGGTGATTTTTCCCATCTGTCAGCGAGAGGAACATGGTAACGTCTCCCTTCATATATCCCCTCGCTAACAGTCATTTTTTGGACGGACGGCTCCCAATTAGTTGTCCTCTTTTGCATCACTGGTCCATCAGCAGGAAAGTTCATCCCAATGAAAGTGGACTTGTGGATAAAGCAGTTGCGTTTATTACTGTCAAGGCTATCGAAGTAAAAAGTACTTATGAGACAATAACAAAATTTAGATTTTTTATTATTTTTATTATTATCAATATTATTATCTTTCTTAAAATTAATTAATTAATTCTAAATTTTAAGAGTCTTTGATCGTAAAATTAGTAAATTTATACCTTATATCCACACTGGCTATGCAAGATCCGCCATCTTCAAATTCAAGGGTTCTTTCCCAAGAGTATCCTTCAGGAAATGATGGCTTGAAATAGTCAACGATGGACGCAGGATAATCAGTAAAGGCTCTGTTACCATAGCAAAACACGGCCGACAATATGTCAAAAGAGAATGGCAGTGGTGCACCCTTGGTTACTCGCAGTGTCAAGATCTGTTTTCCCCTACAAAAAAAAAACACAACAAGAATGAAATACAAATCGATTAAACTAAATAAGAAAAGCGGAGAAGAGCCTTTTGAGAACTAGGCTAAACACTGCCCATTTATCAGTCTAATTTAACTAAATAACAATAGGGGCTTAGGACAGCCTGCTATATAATTTAAATATAAACTTTAATTTCGATTCTGCAATGCTAATCTCGCCCTTTGACAAGAACTGACAAGATTAATGGCAAGTCCTATCACGACACAATATACTTTTTAGCGGAGCTCTGGCGCGCGAAGCGCGCCTGCAGAGCACCATGGGTAAGTAAATCTACCCATCCCAGAAAATTTTGTAATCACGTGACCGAGCGACCGAGCGACCGACCGTCCGTCCGCACCACAGGCATACCAATGTTTACTCTCACACTTTCTAACTACTTTGGAAGCCCAGGAGAAAGCTGATTGCACATCAGTGTTGTCATCAATTGACAGCTGTCAAAACAGGGTATCCGATGACCAGTATCACCTGACCGTATCGCGGTCTCAGGTGTCGACCCATCAAGGTCGAGTATTTTTTGAAGTTATCCGCTGACAATTTACTCGTTTTCAAATGATCGCAGGCTCACGTTTACTTTTTTTTAAAATTCATATGGGGTCCTGTTCATATCAAATATGTTGTGTTTATGTCAGTATCGCCCCGCACTATTACGATTTTGATTTCAAACTGACCTCAGACGCAAAAATTCAGCCAGTTTTTTTAAAATACAGGCGGGGAAGACCTTTTCTAACCATGGTCACCTGTTGGTCACGCTCCACGTCCAATTTTTATGCTCTGATTGGTTAAAATTTGACAGGTGAGTTCATGCATAAAATTCATGCAGCATCTTGAAAGTTGTTTACTTTGACAGCTGAAGCTGACAGAGTTTTGAGTCAACTTGTGATGTTTGTAACTGTCTTTTTCCACTGGATGTAAAAAATGAATACAGCTGCTATCAAGAGTATTCTCTTATTCATGGCTGGTTTGTTTATTGGGTTTTTGGTTGAGAAATGCTCCGCTTTTCAAAGCCGATAATCCGATTTCGGGTGGCATCGATGGCATCGTTTTTGTTTTTCACCTTGCTGGATGCGTACGGGAATTATGCGTTGTTTCTGTAGGTACCGGAGCATAGTATACGTCATCACGCTCGAATTAATTACTTCGGTCTCAATGCATAATTTGCCCAAATTATTTCCAAATGGAGGAATTACAGACATAGTTTCAAAAGGCAATAAACCAAACAAAATAAGAAAGTAAGTCCGTTCCCTCAAGTAGAAAGGTCCACAGAGTCCACAGAGTCCACAGGTCCACAGGTCCAGAGGTCCACAGGTCCACAGAGTCCACAGGTCCACAGGTCAACAGAGTCCACAGAGTCCACAGGTCCACAGAGTCCACAGGTCCACAGAGTCCAAAGAGTCCACAGGTCCACAGAGTTCACAGGTCCACAGAGTCCACAGAGTCCACAGGTCCACAGAGTCCAAAGGTCCACACAGTCCACAGAGTCCACAGGTCCACAGGTCCACATGTCCACAGAGTCCACAGGTCCACAGAGTCCACAGAGTCCACAGAGTCCACAGGTCCACAGAGTCCACAGAGTCCACAGGTCCACAGAGTCCACAGGTCCACAGAGTCCACAGAGTCCACAGGTCCACAGAGTCCACAGGTCCACACAGTCCACAGAGTCCACAGGTCCACATGTCCACAGAGTCCACAGAGTCGACAGAGTCCACAGAGTCCACAGGTCCACAAAGTCCACAGGTCCACAGGTCCTCTTAATGTGAGACAAGCAACCAAAATTATGATTAACATAGTCAGAGTGTAAAACTTTCCACATTATAATCTACCCACTAGAAAGAAAAGAAAGAAAATCTCCGAGGAATGAAAACGCTGAAGTCACGTTTCACTAGCTTATGATTGTGTTTGGCCTGTCAACACCAAATTTCCTGCTGTTTTGTGAAGTACAATAGCAGTGTCATTTCGTCGTTGTGATTGGCTCTTCCCACCGTCGGCGCGCGAAGTCTCCCCTGGGAACCGTTCTAATTATAAATCTACTCGGGAAAGGGTTGACTCCAAGGGCTTGTATGGGAGATGGAGGCTCCATTTGATGGGCTCCTGACCCGTGAGAAATCTCCAATTTATTTCGAAGCTTACGGAGAGAGCAGTGTACTACAAAACCCAAGAGCACTTAGTTCGATCAGAGTTGTACCAAATGCTCCAGTCAGCTTATCGAGCACGCCATAGAACAGAGACGGCCCTCCTTAAGGTACACAATGACATCTTGCTTAACATGGATAACCAGAGGGTTACTCTACTAGTGCTGTTAGACTTGAGTTCAGCGTTTATGAAGTACTTGTCCGTCGTCTTGAGATAACGTTTGGCTTTCCAGATACTGCACTTCAATGGTTCAGATCCTACCTGGCTGGTAGATCACAGCGTGTATTACTTAATGGGAGCTTCTCAGAGGATTTCTCTCTACCTCATGGTGTACCACAGGGTTCGTGTCTGGGGCCGCTGCTTTGTACAATTTATGCCAGCAAGCTATTTGAGGTAGTGAAGCGTCACCTCTCAGATGTACACGCAGACAACAACCAGCATACGTATACTGCATAAGCAGACGATAACCAGTTATATATCTCATTTAAGCCTGGTTCTAGTGCGAGTGAATTAGAAGCGGTAACTGCATTACAAGATTACATTCTACACATCAACACTTGGATGACGGCTGACAAACTTAAGCTAAATGATGACAAAACAGAATTAACTGTAATCGGAACCCGCGCGCAGTTGGACAAGATAAGCATATCAGAGCTAAGCATTGATCACGTGAAAGTATCTGCAGTATGCAACGTTCAAACCTAGGGACATGGTTCGACAACCATCTGAGTATGAAAACCGCCATCAACAAGACTTGTCAATCGGGACTTTACCATCTGTATGATATTGGGCGGATTAAAAGATTTCTTAATAGAAAGAAAAAGACGATTGTTCAGGCAATAGCGAAATCGAGAATAGATTATTGCAATAGCCCATTGTATGGTGTTGCCGCTACGAACCTTAGCAATCTTTAACGGGTGCAAAACGCGGCAGTCCGATTGGTGTGCTCATTGCCAAGACATGAACACGTCACATCGTCCTTTATACGTCTTCACTGGCTGCCGATTAAGTTTAGAATCAATTTCAAGATTGCTATGCTCTGTTTCAAGTGCATTCATGCAAACGCTCCTAATTATCTAAAAAAAGCATGATCGCCATCAAGAATACTTCGACAGTACAACTTCCGCTCGAGCACCAGTATCCAGTTGGAAGACCATTCACGACGCTTGGCGATCGAGCCTCTTCCAATCCATCCGCCAAGATTTGGAACAGTCTCCCGCAATCATTATAGTCACAGCAAAATTTTAACACCTTTAAGTCATTGCTTAAAACTCACTATCTTAGAGAAGCGTTTAATTTATGATTTCTTTTTAGTGTTTCATATAATATATATCCTCACACTTCATTGTAAATTCAAAATTGTAAATAGGTAACATGGTAATTTTGGATTCAATTTTAATATGTAAAGCACATTTGATCATATCCTCCTGTATGTTAATTTGCGCTATACAAATTTTAAATATTATTTATTATTCAACAATATTAACTTCGCCTTCGGTGAATAATTGTTAAATGTTATGAGTTAGAATGTTTTGAGGATAATTATTCACTGCCTATCAGCACGCAGGGATGTCGGATTAACACAAGGAAGTTTAATACCAAAGGAACATAGCCTTTACAGAACCTTAAAACACAGCATCCACCAACACAAACTTGACTTGAACTTAAGTAAAACTAAACAGCCTCTGCCAGTAATAATAAACTCTCACTTGAACTTCTGATATCTTACGGCTTCCGCCAACTTGTAAACACAGAATTTGAAAATAGACCTTTGTCACACTTGGCTAAACACAGCACTCCAGCTCGTGGGAAAAAAACTTAGTTCGTCAAAAGAACTCGCTTGAAACTTGTATACCATTTAACATAAGGTTCTAGAAAATACTGTACCGAAGAAAATACCAAAGAAGTGTAAACTGGTGAGGCTGTAGACCTGTGGACTCTGTGGACTCTATGGACCTGTGGACTCTGTGGACCAGTGGACTCTGTGGACTCTGTGGACCTGTGGACTCCGTGGACTCTGTGGACTAGTGGACTCTGTGGACTCTGTGGACTCTGTGGACTCTATCGACCTGTGGACTCTGTGGACTCTGTGGACCTGTGGACTCTGTGGACCTGTGGACTCTGTGGACTCTGTGGACTCTGTGGACCTGTGGACTCTGTGGACTCTGTGGACCTGTGGACTCTGTGGACCTGTGGACTCTGTGAACCTGTGGACTCCGTGGACTCCGTGGACATGTGGACTCTGTGGACTCTGTGGACCTGTGGACCTGTGGACCTGTGGACTCTGTGGACTCTGTGCACCTGTAGACTCTGTGGACCTGTGGACTCTGTGGACCTGTGGACCTGTGGACCTGTGGACCTGTGGACTCTGTGGACTCTTTGGACTCTGTGGACCTGTGGACTCTGTGGACCTGTGGACCTTTGGACCTGTGGACTCTGTGGACTCTGTGGACTCTGTGGACCTGTGGACTCTATCGACCCGTGGACTCTGTGGACTCTGTGGACCTGTGGACCTGTGGACCTGTGGACTCTGTGGACCTGTGGACTCTGTGGACTCTGTGGACCTGTGGACTCTGTGGACCTGTGGACTCCGTGGACTCTGTGGACTCTGTGGACTCTGTGGACTCTGTGGACCTGTGGACCTGTGGACTCTGTGGACTCTGTTGACCTGTGGACTCTGTGGACCTGTGGACTCTGTGGACCTTTGGACCTGTGGACCTGTGGACTTTGTGGACCTGTTGACTCCGTGGACCTGTGGACTCTGTGGACTCCGTGGACCTGTGGACTCTGTGGACCTTTGGACTTGAGGCAACGGCTGACCCACGGACTGAATTTTTGCTTAGTTTCTTATTTTGTTTGGTTAATTGCCTTTTGAAACTATTTCTGTAATTCCTCCATTTGGAAATAATTTTAGCAAATTATGCATTGAGACCGAAGTAATTTATTTGAGCGTGATGACGTATACTGTGTTCCGGTACCTACAGAAAGAACCGAATTATGAAGGCTCAAGCGATCCTTGCCTTACTTGAAAGCTGTCAGGAGCTGCATCTCGAAATAAGGTAAGCCTGAGTAATTATTGCATTTATATCTAATTTCATGAAGTCCAGCGGCGCAGTTTATGAAGCTAGTTTATGCACGTTTGCATTAAGATTTGACTGAGACACTGATCTGACCTAGTATGAGGTTTGATATACAGCTTACAGAACTTTAAAAAGCCTTTAGTCGATATTAATTCACCGTAAATAGAAAGAAAAAACTTTCTGAAGAATATTTAGTTATAATTTTGGCTGTAGAAAGAAAGCTTTGAGCGATTTTCTTGTCGTGAGTTCATCTTTGAAAAAAGCAAACACCGGGAAACCGGCGGCTTAAAACATAAACTTAATCTTTAAGCTTACTAGTAAAGACCTGAGGATTCTTAGAGACACTTATAAATACTCATTTGTTTTCGTGAATGAAAATTGTTGTCTCTGTAAATGTTCTACTCTCAAAAGTGTAATTTTCATCGCTTTGCCGTTTGTTTTCAGGCGTTCATAAACATCGCTTGCAGAAGTCCTCAAAATGCCGAGCGTATCAAACGCTTTTTAAGATTACACATCGTTATAAAACCATTAATAAAAAATAGACTCAATAAATTCTTTATCACGTTGAAGCGTAACTCTTTTAAAATTTCTTCGCAAATTTGGCGCTTGTCAAAAGTTAGAACCGGCTGACCGTATAGGTGATTTTGGACATTTTTTGAACGGTTTCGCTAATTAAAAGTCCACGCGTGCTTCGATGGTCCTGAGTATTGAAAAATTGTGAAATACTGCATTTTGTACCGAGGTCTGTATGATAAAAACAGCGCCTCATAGCACTCTTTCTCCTCAGATGTGGTGTATAAAAAAAAAATAAAAGAATGGTTTGCACGCACCCAGATTTATTGGCAAGAATTTGTAAACTTGTCGAACGCAAAACATTCGGCCTGATTTGTTTTCCAAGAATTTGTTTTCCACGCCTTATCTACTGTGATCAAGAGCTATTGTTATATTCCTAGACTTTCACTCAACTAAACAGGGACTGCCATTGGTTGATTCTTGGTCACGTGGCCTTGACTAAAATCAAATGTATCCCGCTCGGGATACATTGCAGCACGTGATCAAAGCATGGTGGAAAGTGGTGTGACAGAAGGCGGGAAAAACACCGCCAGGTCCAGCCAGTTTTCTTTTTCGTGAATGAACACAACAACACAAAAACGAAGCCTCAAGCTAAAAAGCAACGATTTTTAAAGTTATCCAAGAAGTTCCCAGAAGAAAAACAGCAGCTAGTGGAGGAAAAAGATGCAGATAATATGAGGAAAGTACTTTTGTTTGTAAATCATTCATTCAGTGGTTTTGAGAATTAAATTTGTGTTGTTATGAGTACCGAGTCGACTGTTTTGGTTCGCTCCGGTTATTCTTTTGTTGCTGTTGAAGTGAAAGTCTTGAAATATAACAAAACACTTAATGCCAGGTCCCTCGGGAAACCAGTTAGTTTTGTTTTCCCTCGAGTCCTGATGTTTCCCTCGACTTCGTCTCGGGAAACATCAGGACTCTTGGGAAAACAAAACTAACTGTTTCCCTCGGATCTGACATTAAGTGTATATTATTGCTCTTAAATGTGACCGAAGACTATTTTTTGGGTGTACATATAAGGCTATATCAGCTCAATACAAGATTTGTTTCACTCCAAAATCAGATAGCTTTTCCCTCAAAAGTCACATGAATGTGCCCTTAAGTTAACTGATTTGTGGAATACAAAATTATTGTTTGATTTAAGTTATAAATTTATCAATGGGAGCTTCGCTTTTAGCTGTGGCTAAATCTATATATTATACCGCTTACCTAGCCTAAAGAATCATTAATACTGTTCAACAGGTTCATTTATTTAATTAGTTTTTATTTGTTCCTTCTTAAGAAAAGTAATAATTAAGCATTATTGAAAAAGTTAATTTTTGAAATATAATGTCAGGTCACTTTAGTGGCAGAGTTGTTGAGATGATAGTTTGCGTAAATATGATAATATAAACGACGTTTGATCCTGGCCAGCAAAAAATTGGCGATCGTCGTGGCCTATTGCGAATAACATCGTGTTTCGACATTAATCAGTGTCAAATTTGCCATTCAAAGAAAAGTTGTTATTGATTTTGAATAATGTAGAATAACTTACATTTTTTTCTGGTTTTTACTTGTGATGATTAGTAAAACCACTTTCACAATTCATAGAGCTTTCTGTTGCACCTAAGGCCATAATATCTCTTTTGGTATGATTGGGTTTTCGGAATCTCTCGCCTTATACTCAGTACAGCTAATTTAAAATGATTTGAGAATTTGACTTTTCATCACAAAAATATCCCGAAATTGACGACTACTCTTATTTCTCTTAAACCTATAACAGTGAAGATCTTCAGTTGCCTTTTACTATCAAGGGAGGTGTGTTGATCGACTTACTCGTACGGCTTCCCCCTGCCTTCACCCTCGATTGTAAAGGAATGCCCATTGACAGATCCTTCCATGTGGTATGTCATCGTCATGTCATCTTTGATAACCTACATTCACAAAATGCACAAAAGTGAATCCACATAAGAGCAGGTGTGGCTTACAAAGTGAAGCTTGAAGTTGTAATTATAAAAGGCTAGGAAGCTTAACACCGTTCTGGTTTGTAAAAAAAAAAAAAAACAAATTAGGTTGGGCAAAAGTGAAGCTATTCTGAGGGTGATTATCTACATGTCTCAAAAGATCGATTGACTTCCTATTCAATATTTAGATCACGTTTACAAAGAAGACTTTTTTTTATAAGTTTATACGCGAGAATCAAAAGCCATTACCTATAGCAAGACTAAACTGCAAAATACCAAATTACTTATATTAGTTGCATTAGATTTAACTCATATTAATGAACTTGCAATTGACTTTAAGTAAAGTAATACATTCCGTAAAACCTTTAAGCTTTCGGAACAAAATTCTACTATTAATAGTGATTTTAAAACTTATAAGATACCTTTTTTCTCAGTCTGATTTGAGATTTTTAACCTCTTTTTTGCTGTTTTGCGTGATAACTAATCTTGAGTGTTTCACTCCAAAAGAAAGAAACGAATCATTCTCTCTACTAATTTATACCTCATTAATCCCAGAAAGAGTCGAGTAAGAAGGCCTGATCTTTCATATTGTTGGCCTTACGGCAACGTTTTTAAGCTTTTTTACAACTACCGTTAGGGTGTGTCATGGCAGTATCCTATCAAACTGTAGCCGTTACATCAGTCCTTATTGCCAGAAATAGGGCCTCATATTCTTGGCGTAGAGTTGAAAATTCACTTACTTGCTTTGAAAGAGCCATGTCGAGAAGAAATTGCTTCTTTGTCAAAACGTACTCAAAATTCCAGTTAAACTGTTTGTAGTTCACTCCGTCACCGACTAAGCTGAACTGACTACATTGCTAGGGTAGATCGATTTTAACGCTATATTGGATCAAAAGACACACCTTGATTGACGCATTAAAACAGGTTAGGCTGGATCTTGACAGGTTGGTCAGGATAAACGGGACAAATAAATCTTTGTTCTTTACTGACAGCTTCACGTGATGTGCAGTTTGCATGTACTTTTCCACAGCCTTACCTAACCAAACTTGGCTAATTTGTGAATTTCAACTCTTACATAATATTGAGCTCTAACGTTAATTTAAAAACAACCAATTGAAAAATTTGAAATTAATCTTGATACGATTTCATTAGTGACTTTGTTGTAACGATACCTTACAGCTTCAGCACAAGCCGTTAAAAAACCCCAACAAAGAGCTTACAAATAAAAAAACTAAAAAGTGAATGTTGAACATCTATGAGAAACTAGGGTGCAATTATCAATAAGCACTTTTATCAATTCTGGAAGGCAGAAAAAAGTATGCTATCAATTAAGGCTACAAGGTTTTGCAGAAGAAGTAAAAGTTAATGCTGGTCTAAAAATTAATTATTCCCGGGATCAGGCAATAGAGTGTGTTTAAAAAGCTCAAAAAGTCAGGTCACCGCCTCATTGACACAATTGGAGCGATTAAAATGTCCAGAATATGTCACTTACAAAGTGAAACAGTGAAACGGGGTAGACGATTTGGGAAAAGAAAAATAGGGTCCCCCCTGAGTGAACTTTTCTCGTCAATGAAACAAGGAGAAGATTTTAAATATGGTTGTTCTTGAGTTGTAAATTCTTGTTTCAATTAAACAAGATTTGTGACGAGTAGGCTGTATTAGGGAGGTAATGGAAGTGTCGGCATAAGTTTAAAACGACTACAGATCATGACCCGGTATGCTTGCTTGTCGTCCATAGCATGAAATGCTTATCAGTAGTCAAGGAGCAGCGAGAACGGCTTGTACAACAGGCTTAATCACTACCGCACTTGACTGACTACATAGATATACACTATAAAAACATTGCCCGGCTATTCGAGATCTCAACTCAGACAACTCAGCGACTGAGCTGTGAACACACTTTTTTATTAGCGTAGGTAAAATTGGTAAGATTGTTGATTATACATTATCCATATTAAAAACGTGATATGTAATGATTGTCTTCTTAAATTAAGCGTACTTTGAATAAGGTGATTTGTTAAAGGTACAGAAATCTATTTAGTGTCATTAAGTGAAATCTTTCACCGCTAGTAAGCAAGTAACATTACTTTCCAGAACTGACCTGTATTAAGCGGTCATTTATACTCTGAAGTGGTCTCACTGCGGTCACCTTTTCCGTGTTAGTTTTTATTGTCTCCACCTGGATTTAAAGTGTTCGGGACAAATCTAATCTAAAAATCGGACATGAAAATTATCCGAAACTGTTAGGTTTTGATAGGGACCTGAGCACTGGTCACGTGACTTCTTTTTCCATGTGACTAGTGTGTTGATCTGTGATAGTTGTTGCGTTGTTTGTATGGTAGAGAGAGCACAGAACTTGTAAGTACTTGGTTCGTTCTTCAGTTCTATTGGTTCTTTCTGTAGGTACCGGAACACAGTATACGTCATCACGCTCAAATAAATTACTTCGGTCTCAATGCATAATTTGCTAAAATTATTTCCAAATGGAGGAATTACAGAAATAGTTTCAAAAGGCAATTAAACAAACAAAATAAGAAACTAAGCAAAAATTCAGTCCGTGGGTCAGCCGTTGCCTAAAGTCCAAAGGTCCACAGAGTCCACAGGTCCACGGAGTCAACAGGTCCACAAAGTCCACAGGTCCACAGGTCCAAAGGTCCACAGAGTCCACAGGTCCACAGAGTCCACAGGTCAACAGAGTCCACAGAGTCCACAGAGTCCACGGAGTCCACGGAGTCCACAGGTCCACAGAGTCCACAGGTCCACAGAGTCCACAGAGTCCACAGGTCCAAAGAGTCCACAGGTCCACAGGTCCACAGGTCCACAGGTCCACAGAGTCCACAGAGTCCACGGGTCGATAGAGTCCACAGGTCCACCGAGTCCACAGAGACCACAGAGTCCACAGTTCCACAGGTCCACAGGTCCACAGAGTCCACAGAGTCCACAGGTCCACAGGTCCACAGGTCCACAGAGTCCACAGCTCCACAGAGTCCACAGAGTCCACAGGTCCACAGGTCCACAGGTCCACAGGTCCACAGAGTCCACAGGTCCACAGAGTCCACAGAGTCCACAGAGTCCACAGAGTCCACAGGTCCACAGGTCCACAGGTCCACAGAGTCCACGGAGTCCACAGGTTCACAGAGTCCACAGGTCCACACAGTCCACAGAGTCCACAGAGTCCACAGAGTCCACAGGTCCACAGAGTCCACAGAGTCCACAGAGTCCACAGAGTCCACAGGTCCACAGACTCCACAGAGTCCACAGGTCGATAGAGTCCACAGAGTCCACAGGTCCACAGGTCCACAGGTCCACAGAGTCCACAGGTCCACGGAGTCCACGGAGTCCACAGGTCCACAGAGTCCACAGAGTCCACTGGTCCACAGAGTCCACAGGTCCATAGAGTCCACAGAGTCCACAGGTCCACAGAGTCCACAGAGTCCACTGGTCCACAGAGTCCACGGAATCCACAGGTCCACAGAGTCCACAGGTCCAAAGAGTCTACAGAGTCCACAGGTCCACAGAGTCCACAGAGTCCAATGGTCCACAGAGCCCACAGAGTCCACAGGTCCACAGCTCCACAGGTCCACAGGTCCACAGAGTCCACAGGTCCACAGAGTCCACAGAGTCCACAGGTCCACAGGTCCACAGGTCCACAGAGTCCACAGGTCCACAGAGTCCACAGAGTCCACACAGTCCACAGAGTCCACAGAGTCCACAGGTCCACAGGTCCACAGGTCTACAGAGTCCACAGAGTCCACAGGTCCACGGAGTCCACGGAGTCCACAGGTTCACAGAGTCCACAGGTCCACAGAGTCCACAGAGTCCACAGGTCGATAGAGTCCACAGGTCCACAGAGTCCAAGGAGTCCACAGAGTCCACAGAGTCCACAGGTCCACAGAGTCGACAGAGTCCACAGGTCGACAGAGTCCACAGGTCAACAGAGTCCACAGAGTCCACAGGTCGATAGAGTCCACAGGTACACAGAGTCCACAGGTCCACAAAGTCCACAGAGTCCACCGGTCCACAGAGTCCACGGAGTCCACAGGTCCACAGAGTCCACAGGTCCACAGAGTCCACAGAGTCCACAGGTCCACAGAGTCCACAGAGTCCACTGGTCCACAGAGTCCCCAGAGTCCACAGGTCCACCGGTCCACAGGTCCACAGGTCCACAGAGTCCACAGGTCCACGGAGTCCACAGAGTCCACAGGTCCACAGGTCCACAGGTCCACAGGTCCACAGAGTCCACAGGTCCACAGGTCCACAGGGCCACAGAGTCCACAGGTCCACAGAGTACACAGAGTACACAGAGTCCACAGGTCCACAGGTTCACAGGTCCACAGAGTCCACAGAGTCCACAGGTCCACAAAGTCTACAGAGTCCACAGGTCCACAGGTCCACAGGTCCACAGAGTCCACAGGTCCACAGAGTACACAGAGTCCACAGGTCCACAGGTTCACAGGTCCACAGAGTCCACAGAGTCCACAGGTCCACGGAGTCCACGGAGTCCACAGGTTCACAGAGTCCACAGGTCCACAGAGTCCACAGAGTCCACTGGTCCACAGAGTCCACAGAGTCCACAGGTCCACAGGTCCACAGGTTCACAGAGTCCACAGGTCCACAGAGTCCACAGAGTCCACAGGTCCACAGGTCCACAGGTCCACAGAGTCCACAGGTCCACAGAGTCCACAGAGTCCACAGGTCCACAGGTCCACAGGTCCACAGAGTCCACAGGTCCACAGAGTCCACAGAGTCCACAGAGTCCACTGGTCCACAGAGTCCACAGGTCCATAGAGTCCACAGAGTCCACAGGTCCACAGAGTCCACAGGTCTACAGCCTCACCAGTTTACACTTCTTTGGTATTTTCTTCGGTATAGTATTTTCTAGAACCTTATGTTAAATGGTATACAAGTTTCAAGCGAGTTCTTTTGACGAACTAAGTTTTTTCCCACGAGGTGGAGTGCTGTGTTTAGCCAAGTGTGTGAAAGGTCTATTTTCAAGTTCTGTGTTTACAAGTTGGCGGAAGCCGTAAGATATCAGAAGTTCAAGTGAGGGTTTATTATTACTGGCAGAGGCTGTTTAGTTTTACTTAAGCTCAAGTCAAGTTTGTGTTGGTGGATGCTGTGTTTTAAGTTTCTGTAAAGGCTATGTTCCTTTGGTATTAAACTTCCTTGTGTTAATCCGACATCCCTGCGTGCTGATAGTCAGTGAATAATTATCCTCAAAACATTCTAACTCATAACATTTAACAATTATTCACCGAAGGCGAAGTTAATATTGTTGAATAATAAATAATATTTAAAATTTGTATAGCGCAAATTAACATACAGGAGGATATGATCAAATGTGCTTTACATATTAAAATTGAATCCAAAATTACCATGTTACCTATTTACAATTTTGAATTTACAATGAAGTGTGAGGATATATACTATATGAAACACTAAAAAGAAATCATAAATTAAACGCTTCTCTAAGATAGTGAGTTTTAAGCAATGACTTAAAGGTGTTAAAATTTTGCTGTGACTATAATGATTGCGGGAGACTGTTCCAAATCTTGGCGGATGGATTGGAAGAGGCTCGATCGCCAAGCGTCGTGAATGGTCTTCCAACTGGATACTGGTGCGCGAGCGGAAGTTGTACTGTCGAAGTATTCTTGATGGCGACCATGCTTTTTTTTAGATAATTAGAAGCGTTTGCATGAATGCACTTGAAACAGAGCATAGCAATCTTGAAATTGATTCTAAACTTAATCGGCAGCCAGTGAAGACGTATAAAAGACGATGTGACGTGTTCATGTCTTGGCAATGAGCACACCAATCGGACTGCCGCGTTTTGCACCCGTTAAATATTGCTAAGGTTCGTAGCGGCAACACCATACAATGGGCTATTGCAATAATCTATTCTCGATTTCGCTATTGCCTGAACAATCGTCTTTTTCTTTCTATTAAGAAATCTTTTAATCCGCCCAATATCATACAGATGGTAAAGTCCCGATTGACAAGTCTTGTTGATGGCGGTTTTCATACTCAGATGGTTGTCGAACCATGTCCCTAGGTTTGAACGTTGCATACTGCAGATACTTTCACGTGATCAATGCTTAGCTCTGATATGCTTATCTTGTCCAACTGCGCGCGGGTTCCGATTACAGTTAATTCTGTTTTGTCATCATTTAGCTTAAGTTTGTCAGCCGTCATCCAAGTGTTGATGTGTAGAATGTAATCTTGTAATGCAGTTACCGCTTCTAATTCACTCGCACTAGAACCAGGCTTAAATGAGATATATAACTGGTTATCGTCTGCTTATGCAGTATACGTATGCTGGTTGTTGTCTGCGTGTACATCTGAGAGGTGACGCTTCACTACCTCAAATAGCTTGCTGGCATAAATTGTACAAAGCAGCGGCCCCAGACACGAACCCTGTGGTACACCATGAGGTAGAGAGAAATCCTCTGAGAAGCTCCCATTAAGTAATACACGCTGTGATCTACCAGCCAGGTAGGATCTGAACCATTGAAGTGCAGTATCTGGAAAGCCAAACGTTATCTCAAGACGACGGACAAGTACTTCATAAACGCTGAACTCAAGTCTAACAGCACTAGTAGAGTAACCCTCTGGTTATCCATGTTAAGCAAGATGTCATTGTGTACCTTA